GTGATTGGTTAATTATCACGGGCAATCACGGGTAGATCTACCAAAATTAACCAATCATACGAATGTCTGCCCATGAGGTTACAGGTACGATATCTATTATATATGCAAGACTGCTTAAATAAATAATCAAAAGTTGTATATATGGTTAGTATATATCCTCGTTAATGTAACAAAGTCAGGGGTAACCTTGTGTCAGGGGTAACCTTGTGGTGCACACCTTGAATGTATGTCAGGTTTGTGGCGCAGATATCCTGAACTAAGAATCATATTTCAAGATCAGATGTAATGTAATATGATTAAAAAGGTTCAAAACAAATGTTCGTTTCGTCAGAAATCACCTATTTCTTAAAAATCTGCATAGGAAATCACCTTTAGTGCTTTAACAAAAAGTTTTCACTAGACAATTTTACTATATAAACACCTCTTTCTAACCCTAACCCAAACCTTAACCCTAATATAAACGAATTTTTTGCTGCATTACAAACCTGGCACACATTCAAGAAAAGCCTCTGTGGTTGTGCTGGCATTCAATCCAAAGTTAATAAAATGTATCAGACCCAAAATAGTTACCTTAACATTAAAAAAAAAATATATATATATTATGTATTTATTTTTTATTTATTTTTTTTTTTATAGTCAAGGTTAGCCTCTTTAGCTTTTCATTTTTATTAGATTGTAGAATCATGTGGTGCCCTTATTACAGAGTCTCAGACATGTACATTCTAACAAGGGTACATTCTAGCCATATCTGCGCCTTTTAAGCACCTAATTTAAGTAGTTTGCCTATTACTAGGTTCTACACTAGATGCCATATCTGTAACCTACTATTATTTAGATTACCCAATTAAACTCTCTGATCTGAGTTTCTATGCCAATCTATCTAACCTCACCTAGAACATGCGATACATAAGTCAGTTCAAGTTCCAAGATCGTCGCAAGCTATCTATAGGACTATTAGCATGGTTAACTGATTTATCCTTGAGTGCATTACTTGCTAGAGCAGTTTGGTACTCACTATTACTATATTACCTAGTCTTTTTCAAATAAGTCTTGCTAAATAGGTTTTATATCTTTACGGACAGGCTATACTGCCAATTCTTTCCGCAGATAAGTTCACCAAATAGGTTCTAAACCTTTATAGGCAGGCCATATCGCCGAACACCTTGGTCCTTACAAGGTTTGTTCTGATCCCAATACTCACATCAAGCTAGTCCTTATACTGATCTCTCCCCAACTACCAAACCAGTTAGCCCAGATGGGTCATTGTACCTAGGTTTTAAGTACCTTCTGGTTTTACTTCTCTTAGTTTCTAATTCCATAGCATAGGACCTTTTCCTTCAGTGCGACTCTGGTGGCCAAGTTGGTGGACTCTTCTTGCCTCAGGGTTTTTATCTGATTCTTCAGTTTTCAGTTTCTGACTTTCTACAGTATCGTCAAAAATCATCACTACTTTTTTTATTCAAGTCTTGTCAAATAAGTTTCAATTATTCCAGTTCCTTGGATTTAGATTGCCTAAGAGCTTCCATTTTGAGATGATAGTACCAAGATTACAGATGATATACCCAACCAATCATCAAATAATTGTTACCGGTACATAGACCTATTTTTTTAAAAACGTCTCTGGTGTAATTCAAACTCTAGACCTGCCACTTGGAGGGTGACAACTTAACTACTACTCTAAGTCACCACATCCTTTATATTACATATAGTGTTCGAAAAAGTCAGCACAGATCGGATTCAGATTTGTGTGGATCCAAACCAGCGGATTAGGTTTGGCCCCTGAAACATCAGATTAGGCCCTGATTGAGCGGGATTGGGCCTAATTTTAAATTATGTTTTTATATAATTACTCTATTTAATAGATTCAAATTTGTCATATAATAAATTCGAATATATCACACCTTGTGCCATAATATAAGTGATAAATTCGCATTTGTTATATGATAAATTCGAATTTATCACTTATATTATAACAAATATATGTTAGATTAGCATGGATTACTCTCAAATTTAAACCAAATTATGATTCAGATCAGATTCGGATCAATTCCGGATTAACCAAGATTTTTAATCCATTTTCGAATACTAATTACATATTTATATATAGTATAATCTATATTATATATACTGTAATATATAAGTGTAACATAAGAATCAGGCTACCTTCTCTCCCCCCTAAAATATTACATAATATCTGTTACTGCCTTTACCTATTTCTGCTTTTATAAAGTTAACTCATACTTTAGCTCTAGTACTCATCCAAGCAGGAACCCTTCCACTGTTTCACCAAACTTCCAATTCAAATAGTCCAGTTTGGTTCAAAAGTTATATTATCTGCTTTCCTACTGGCTTAACTCAGATATTGGCCTATGCCCTTTTCTTCTGGTCGATTCTGGTGGCCTGGTTGGTATAATGCTTGCCTGATTAGTATAGTGCTTGTCAAACACCCAATCCTCATCCAGATCCGTAGCTTTTTGGTTCTTTTCTTAGACTTTCCAGAACTATCGAAAATATATACTACTTCTTTACTCAGAACTTGCCAAGCGGATTCCTATTCAGAACTATATATATCACTAAAATAGGTTTCCAAAAACCTTTATTTTGTCTTTATTAAAGCAATTTAGAATTTTTTATTTACAATTGCAAATCTAATTTAGGTAGTTATGTTTCTTATAATTTTGTCTCTTCAAAAAAAGTGTCAAAAAATTGTCTTTTAAGTAAAATAGATCAAAAACAATTTCGTCTTTAAATTTTAATTTTATATTCTGAAACCTAAAATAATTTCATCAGCATATATATTTGGAACTAGTCTTATAGATTTATACAAGTTACAGTGACTTAGCATGAGTTTATATCAGCTTTTATCAGTTTATATCTTATTGTGTAAATTTTTTATTATATAAATGCACCATGATCTTCCAAGTCTGTACTATCACCTCTAATAAGGCTTGCAAGATAAGTTGTCCATTAGGTGATCATTACCCTTGCATCTATTTGGTCTAACTGTCATTACAAAATCTACATCCCAACACCCGAATAGTTATTATTATATAAAAGAATTCAATTTTTCAGCATTGGTGAAAATTAAACTCTAGATGTACCACTTGGGGACAACAACTTGACCACTTTACTAAGTTAATACACCCTTTAATAAGAAAAGTTCAAAATTGACAATATTTAATAATTAATATTTTTAATAGTATTAAAATTATTTAAAAAATTTTGTATATAATAATACTTGAATAAAAACCCTCAAAAAGTCTAGTTAAAAAAAATAAAAAATAAAAAATAAAAAAAATCAAATTTGAAATTTTATATATAACTTTAAACTTGATTTAAAATTGTATTTTAACTTTAAATTTTAATATATAATAAAAACAAGTTAGTAATATCAGTAGTAAATATATTATAAAATTCAACAAAAAATTTTTATCAATTCAATAATAATAAATAATATTATAAATTACAAGTTTTCTTCTAGAATTAAATAATATATATAAATTTGTATATATAAACTTTATTGGATCTTTTAAATTTTTTATTTTTATTTTTTTTTATTTACGTGTTTAGAGAATATTCTAATTTTTTAATATTGATGATTTGATAAAAATTCAATACAAGCATTATATTAATTGCAATACAATAAGTAAAATCTGACTTTTAACTTGAAATCATTAACAAATTTATTTCTTATTCTTGTTATTATATAGTACAAATTAAACATTTTTGCTTCAACTTTATTATTGAAAGATCTATTAATAGAAATTAGCATTTTTACTATTTGATTAAAAAAGCCCTTTAAATGTGGATCTGTTCTTTAACAATGAACATGCTCCTTCGTTCAGTTAACTCTGATGAAAGAAGTCGTCATAACCCGCTTTCTACATTCTCCAAACTTTGTAACGCTATATGCAGTACCTTATCTAATAAATCAAATATATATTTTGTAAGTGGGAACGGCATTTAAATGGATTCGGAATTTCTTAATAAAATTAGAATTTTAGGATAGAATTGATTTTATATAAGCCTACACCCTAATCCTACCTACAACATATATATTATGTAGTTTGCTTTCGCGAATCGATTAGATTTCACATTAGCCAAACGATTCATTCCCATATTTAATCAATTTCATTGCACCGTGATGGTTCATCTGCAATTTAACGCAGATTATTCTATTATGTGCGTTTTACACCCGAGGTTCAACCATCATTTCTTCACAGTATTTCAGACTGGAAATCAAATTATCATCACATGTGATTTTTTTAAGTTAACCCCTAGTGGCCCAAAGGACGAAGTATTTAGTATACAAATATTCTTTCAAAAACTTCTATAGAGCACAAAATTTCTGTTTACAAATAAACTGCCATTTGCTTCGAAATGTTATTGGCCACTTTAGTCACACTGATCAAAATAGGCATTGTGAAACTGCGGTTATATGTCACGTGTAACTAAGTAATCACACAAATTAGCCCATATGCATGTCAAAATGTCCTTGGTATAAAGTAAATGAAGTAAAGCGTTGAAAACTAGGCCTCTTCCTTCTCTCCTTTTTGAATTCCAGTTACTGCGAACATATATCACTACCTTTTTTACAGTGAAGTTATTTCAATATGGATAGAATTGACATGAGTCTGGACGACATCATCAAGACCAACAAAAAGAAACTAAAACAGGGAACAAAAGTCATCGCTAACGGCAACAATGGAAATGCAAACAACGGTGGCCTTAATAATAAGAACAGAACAGGACCCATTAGACCTAGATCCACAGGGAAAAAATTGACTCGACAGAAGGCCAACCCATATCCGGTAAGAATCCAAACAGCTTCGTAAGGAAATACTGGGAAAATACTAGTTGATCGAGTTTTGGTCGACAAATGGGCAAAACACGTCATACTGTTCTCCCAGAAGAAACGTCGAAACATTATTTTTGGGTCTTTTGCGTTCTTCCTGACGGGGTTTCGCAAATTGGAACATGTACAAGACTGATCAAACCCAACTACGGCTGTTTTGATACCTTGCCACCTTCCATCCATTCAGAAACCAAAAATTATTAAAACAGGAAATTCTAACGGCGTTTGGCGTCACGATCTCTTCCCTACCCTTCTTCCTGGCAGCAACCAAACCAAACGAACCGGTCCGTTTAATGGGTCATCTATTCAGCACCGCTTAGGCACCGGTAAACCCCTTGTAAGTAGTGGTGTTGCAAGCAGATTGTCTATTAAAGGTGTTGCCGGTGTTAAGCAGTCTGAATTCTCCTTCAAAGGTGAAGGCGGACCCGCTTCTATTGTTATCAGTAATTTAGCGCCTGGTACAAGTGCTAATGATATCAAGGTAAAATGAACTTTAAAACGTTTAAGCATTTATTCCAAAAAATAGATAAATAAGGGGAAATTTACAAGCATTCTAACACTTTTAACCATTTTAGACTGTATTTATGGAATTTGGCGATATTTCTACGGTAAACATGAAAGAAGAAAGACCCTTCCGTGGAGCGCCTGTAACTGCCGAGCTCACCTTCGAAAGCAAGGCCTCTGCACTTTCTGCTATAAATAAATATAACACAGCTCTAGTAGATGGTAATAAACTTTAGTGTAATAGATTTTTATTATTTTATTTTATTTTATTTTTTCGATACACAAAATGGTAATTGAATTTCGATGTCTTTTTTAAGGTCGTGTGCTTAAAGTTCAATTTAAGCAACCTAATACCAATACTGGTGCTGCCTCATACCGAATGAGAAACAAATTCAAGCCACAGCTTGCTTCTTCCACACAGTAAGTGATAACGATGTTTGCTTATATAACTATTGTTAGGATAATTTTAATTCGACTGTTTTAAATATTTATCTTTATATATAGAAATGGAAAGCTTTATTCCGACCAATTGGTTTCTGGTATCCATAGGAATAGACGTTCCGGTGGCAAGGGAAAACAGCCTTCTTTTACATTCTAAATATAAGGATTCTAGAGTATCCCGAGTTCATTGCTTCGCCGGAGCGAATTCAATGTGATTTTGACAGAGCGTAATGGATAGGTGGAACAATTAGAAAGAATAATGCTCACGTATTTAGCTGGTTGGTGGTTGGGTTTCTCCCTTCCCTCGAAGTATTCTATTTTTCCTTCCATTCAATTTCCTATCTTTTTTTTTTTTTTTTTTTTTGACACACATATACATATATATATTATTATCGTATGATTATTTTTTTACTTTGCATGATGGAAATTTTAGAATAAGCCAGATTGCAAAGAGTGCAAGATGCTTCGATATTTTATCATTTCCCAAACAATGTCATTATAATTTGGTTAGAATACTCGTTCACCATTTAATAATGTCAGCAAAAACCATATACCGGATTATTTTCTTTCTGTTAATAAAAAAAATATGATTCTTAAAACCTTTAAAACCAAAAACTCACACTGAAACTGACATCCAGCGACCGAACATAATGCCACCACCCGGGCTTTTTGACAAATTAAATCAGTAATCTAGAGTTAAGCCATTAGAAAAGATACATAATAAATGAATAACTCACAGGAATATACAATAGTTCACCAGGTTTCAAAATACATTCTTGATATGATGCGAAGGAAAATAGTGGGAATCGTTCAATATCAGGACTTTCAACTTCAACCTTAGTTTCAATTTATAATTTGATATAATTAATATAGGGTATTGTAGCCCAGAGTTTGTGATATTACCAACCTGGCTCGTGTTACCTAACAAACCATCCTGTTCAAAAGAGTACAATTTAGGAGTTTCACTTGGTGAATATAATCTAATATATTTTTGTCCAACAACTTGTGCCAAAAGATTATGATAAGGATCTGTATGCATTGGTGAAATAGTTCCCTTAGGTCCAAACCATGCATTTGTGATAACTTCTTGAGGTGGAAAATATTGGATATTTCCGTAACTAGAATCGCCATCTTCCCCAATGCTCACGATAAATGGTTTGGTATCTACAAAACAATAGTCAGGAACCACAATATCATCTTTTAAGCGCGGAACTTGCGCGAATAAGTCATGTTGTGCTAAATATGCGATATCAACATCATCATTGATGGAATTTTTAACCCATTTTTCAATGAAATCGCCAAAATTCATTAATTTTTGTGTCCAGGTTTCGTCAGTATATTTAGCACCGATTTCTACAGGGACTATTCGTTCTTTTCCGATTCTATTCAAAAGATAATCGAGATTGCTCCAGGGCCTTGTTGAAAGTGCTGGCCAATGCGATATACTGGAACAAATTATAAAAGGAGTGGGACTTGCTGACGTAACATGCGATGCGAAAGTAGCTAAACTAGGTTGTGATATTTTGGGCAACGGATTACTTATAATTGGCATGCTATGGGTTTCAGTTTTAGACTTTTTATGAGCTGTATTTTTTATAGAATTGTCATCCATAGTACGTTTAGGCGACGTAAATTGAATGCTCTGTTGGTAATTTATCTGTTCAAGTTTTCTCAAGATTTTCTCGGTTTCTTCAATGAGATTAAAAAGCATTTCTTTCCTACCATTTCCAGGCGCACCGGTCATCACCAAAGCCATATCTAAAGTCTTTATAACTTGTTTCCATGAGTTTTTATCCTCGACATTTGGTACTAAAAAAATTTCGCACACACTTTTTAACAGACTGGCGTCGGTATACAACCGTCTCCAAGAAATCGGAACATCTTTGTATGGATATGCGTGCAGCTTTTCTACAGCGTAATCAACCAATGAAGTTGCCTTTAATAGAATCATAGGAATTTCGTCAGAAGCAACACAAAATACATCTTTGAGGCATTGATAAAGTAAATAGATCGTGGCCTTGTCACAATGTATAAAATCTAGAATTTTACGCGATTTATTTCGAGATTTTGACTAGTAAACCTTAAAAAAACTTTTACAAATTACCGACCATTTTCCTCCGTGTTTGAATCGTACTTATGAGTTTCAAGCAGTTTTGCAATAACAGAATTGCAAATTTCTTTTAATGAAGAATCCATTAAAAATACTGACCGTCAGTTAAAATTACATGGTAACTTAACGTTGGCTCAGCATCAGCTCAGCGTGTACCGGCACCCTGGAAAATCTGCCGGCGATCTACGCCGTGCGACAAACAATGATATCACGCCTTAACGAAAATTGATTAACACAATCCGA